AAAAGGGATAATAAATTACATAACCAAAAATTGTATATCTTTAACATGACCCACTGAATAACAGCCAAAGCATTTGGCTGAAATATAGAATTTATACCCCAATCCTTTACAATATTTTCGTCTTGTTTCTAATAAATATCAAATTCTCAATGTTAAAGTCAGATGAGGGATGTGGGAAGAGGCTATTCAAATTATCCATTAGATAAAGTAAACGTTTTTTCATACTTAATTAAGTCAATTTACAAGACTAATTTTAAAATTTCATTTAAATTATATCACAAAAATATGATCAAGTATGAGTAAATCTTCCAATAAAACATTTTTTTTGTTTGAGAAGTAGCGAACCATCATTAAAACAATACATTCATCAACTCGAAAGAGATACTGATCAATTTAATTATTTTCTCGCTTTCGTAAAATGGATTTTGTGAAGGTGCGCTTGCAGAACGTCTTTCAAATACTGAACTGCAAGACGCTATATTGAACGGAATAACGTTGAAGTTGTCGAATTTACTTCACATTCTCAAGGTGTGGAAAGATCAGGTAAGTTAACGACTGAAGCTTCACAAATGGTATATGGACAAGAAGCAAGGCAACAGTTCAGTATTACTAAATCTTTGTCCCATCAAATAAGAACTTCATCTACTTCACAGTGAAATTATACTGATCAATTTAGCTATATTATGATGTAATATATTATACAGCTCAATAGTTTTAGTGTGATTTTCAATAATGTAAATTTAAAAAGTTTTGTTTTATAAATTTTTCCCAAACGTATATTGGCGTTATATACACTTTTATCTATTTTTTTCATTAATTATGACCTAAAAAATTATGTAAGATCTGATACTTTGATTAGACATTTTGTATTTATTTACAACTTTTACACAGTTTTAACATACCGAATACAGTAAAAAAAAATAGCCTATTTTGCTTTCTGGTGATTCATAATTATATATATTTTCCATATTTTACATTCAATGTATCTAATACAAAATACATCACCTTTATTTGGATTTATTATTGAAATAGTAAAATGTTGAAGTCGGTGTGTAAGCAAAAACCTGGGGAAATTAGGTATGTTTTGCCTTTTTCAAACGATCTTTAAATGTAAATACTCAAACATTGATAAATGTTATTAATCTAATTTATAGTGTTACAACTTATCACATTAAACCTTAGCCTTCACATCGAGTGAAATGTTAATTTTCTAAAGAAAGTGAAAAATCAAACTGCGCTATTCGAACATGCTATGTTTTAGCCAGCCTCAACGTGGGCATTTTTCGTTCGAAGATTTCCTTCGATCTTCGACAATCATTCCTTTTCAGCATTGGTCTACGGCAAACCGTAGCCGAGGAAGATCTAAAGCAAGCTGAACGAGAATTAACAAAAGAATTTCGATCGTAAAACACTTTCATGAACTTGGAAAAGTGTCTCAACTTGGACGCTGGGTCCCTCATCGTCTGACTGCTTTTCAGAATAATCAAAGCATTGCTTTCAATTGTTCATTAAACAGTAGACATTTTGGCAGAGCTTTGGTGAGCAGAATTAAGTAAAAGTTATGCAATTCATCGAAACGAGAATGGTAGTTTTAGGAGCGAGATGTTTTAAGAGTTGAATTTTAGAGACACCTTAAGATCTGTTGTCTTTACATCGAAGTTTGCAACGGCAAAAACAAAAAAAAAATCAAATAACAAAAACAAACTCAAACAACAATCTTCCCTTGAAAATTGATTTGTGGTTGATGAACAAAACCAAACATGGACACACAAGTATGCAGTAATAAAACTCAAGAGGACAAATGGGAGTTAAAAGTAACGGAGAATTAATGAGCGCTATAGTAGAACATCATCAAGATCCTCATGACCACCATTCTCAGGACCAGGTGTGGTCCTAGTGTCAGTGCGCAGCTGGGGATCTCACCAGTCCCTCCACATATCTGGCTTGAAAGCCAGAGACATATTCTTTTATACATAGCATAATATATATATATACAGGCATAACAGAATTGAATAAACGTTCACAGAAACCGTTTATTTTATTAAACAAGTAATTTATACAAACGAAGTAATTATAAATGGTCATAAATTTAATAACTAATACTTGGTTGACATCCGTTTTGCTTTTTTTTAATGCAAGGACCCTACTAGGCATGCTAGCGATGAGTTCACGAATATCATCTTGAGGGATTTCTTGACGCAATGATCCTAAAAGTTCGGGCTTAGAAGATGGCGGAGTTTTCGATCTAATATGCCCCAAAGGTGTTCAATAGGGTTAATATCCGGGGACTGACTTGGGCATGGAAGTTTATTGATCCCATTTTGTCTCAACCAATGTTCCGTTGCTTGAGCAGTGTGACATGGAATTCTATCTTCCATAAATAGGGAGTCAATTTTGCACATTCTACTACTTGAGAATATTGGAAGGAACATTTTGTTTAATATAGAAACATATTTGGTTGAATTAATGTTTCCTTCACACTCCACAAGCTCTGAGCGACCATCACTCCAAATTGCACCCCATACCATTACTGAAAGGCCCCCATGTTTCATCGTTGGCTGCAGTCTTTTTAAATCAAACTCTTGACTACAGAGTCTCCATACTCTTCCACAGTCGGAAAATAATGCGAATCTTGACTCATCAGAGAAAATGACAGTGGTCCAAAAGGTCACAGGTCTCTCCACCAATTCATGAGCCCAATCCTTTCTGCGTTTGATATTGGCCGGACGGAGAAGTGGTTTCCTTCTCGCAGCTCTGCCATAGTAGCCCAGCTTGTGAAGATACCTGACAGCTATTCTGGGACTGACATCAACTTGTGTTGCTATGTCAGAGGCCTTGCAACGTGGATCCTGTTCAACATTTCTTTCGACAAGACGCATGGTTCTTTCAGAGGGCCCAGGGCGGCCTGGATGAGGTTTTGTGCACTTCTTGCCCTCTCTGGTGAATTGTACGATCACTCTATTAACAGTAGAAAGGGGTATTGAAAGATTTTCAGATATTCTTCTTTGACTAAGATCACCTTCATGTTGGCCCACGATACGTCCTCGCTGAAATTCGGATAACTCTGATGTTCCTTTGGTTAGTAACATGTTCCAATATTGTTATCTGTAATTTTAATCAAATAATCTAAAGTAATTTATCTTGGTTATTAAAAAAAAATCAGAAATAAAATTTATCTTGGTGTCTATTCAATTCTGTCATGTCTGTATATGTATATATATATATATATATATATATATATATATATATATATATATATATATAAATGAAGAAATATAGTTTTAAGATATGTTATATTTATGGGATGAAGTGTTCAATATTAGAGATAGAGCGTATGAAAATATAAAAATGAACATTGAAGACAACACTCAGAGGCGACAGACTGTTTCATGCTAAACGCATGATGATATATATATTATCTACAGTTTGACACCTTTTGTTCTTAATCTGGCTTGGTGTGTCGTCACTTTCTTCACCAAGAAGACTTGTTGGTGGAACAGGTTTAATCGCCGACTATGTGTAAGGCAGTACTTTTCAGACATATCACCAGTAGAACTCTTAGAGTGAATACACATAAAGTATTTACAATACGCGTATTCATATATTCCGTCTTACAGGGCTCTAATTGCAACACGACTACTGTTCGTCATTTGGTGCCCGTCAGCATCTAGGAAATCTTAAGGCAAGGTGTTTACGAGACTCGTGACACAATTCTTTATTGTATATTTTTTTTAAATCGAATTTACTCTAAGTAAGGCAGTAAAGCCACTAAGACACAAATGGTTACTGGGTGTAAAAATTTAGAAAACAGAAAATATTATGAATGAACGTGAACTAGAGAAGTGTAATCAGGAAGACATTAGATAAAGATTGACATTGCATTTAAATTTTTGAAGATCAAAGATGGCCGAAATGCATCGTGCCGAGGGAGACTTCTACAAGTGAGAATTGCGAGAAAATAAAATGTTAGCGTAGAACTTAGGGTTGCTTCTTGCCATTTCAATTGCTACTTAATGAAACCTTGTAGACAATCTAGTACTGGCCTAAATTCATAGTGTTGGTACTAAAACGAAGAGGCTCACCCGAACAATTACCATAAAAGTATTTGCTGAAAAGGCGTAGGGAAGCAACTTTATGACGGTTTGGCCCAATCCGTATAATGTGCTTCACTCCTAAGACTTTGAACGATAATAAGAAGAAATTAGTAATTATCGTGAAATATGACACGCTCATAATCTTTTGTGACCAATATATACAAGTTACCTATTATCTATAGAACCTAGTATAGGATACAAGTTACCTATTAACTGTAGAACCTACGTATCGAAACAAGTATAAACAAGGCCTATGTCCCCAGCTATAATAAAAACACATTTCGACATTTAATGTCCAACAGGTGTTTATCGGCCATTAAATCGGTTAAAAAACTAACTATCAAAACTTCAGTTTATTTTTACAGTCACTCTGATGTTGTTCTTAAAACTTAGAAAATGGATTCCTTTATCAAGTACTTAAAATTAGTTGAGTTGGGTCTTCTCTTATATATCATACCGTTTCCCGATATAGACTATCATGGCTCTCCACAACATCTTATTTTTGTTGTTCTAACTTTTATTCCTTTTCGACCTTTTTTGCACCTCTCCCGCCATTCCTTTATACAAACTCGTAATGTACGTTAATCGTCGTTCCTTCTCCTTCTCTAAACTTCACTAGATCTTGTGAGTTTTAAATTCTCCAGGCCTTCTTTCTTAATTATGTGTCCCAGATATTCCACTTGTCTCTTTCTCATTGTAAGTATACGTCTGCTTGTAGATCCTACTTACATTAAGACTTCCTAGTTAATCACGTCTTCTGTCCATGTTATTCTCTGCATTTGTCTGTAGAATCATATCTATCGCCTTATTTCTGTTAAAATTGGAAGAAATTGTCGAGAATTCACTGACATATAGTTCTTAATACTATTTAACAGATTAGAATCCGTTCGTTGTCGCTACATCAAGTTGAAACACCGGTTTCCATACGATCACCGAAGTTAAGCAAAATCGAGCCTGGTTAGTACTTAGATGGGTAACCGCTTGGGAATACTAAATGTTGGAGGCGGGTTGTGTAATGAATAACAGACAAGAATTGTTCTAAATCCCGTTGGTTTCGTTATATTCACTTACGCGAGGAATAACCTTGGGAAAAGTATGAATCCATCTCTTGTCTCCCACCTATGGGTTAATTAGTAAGACTTGTATCATCAAACCATTATTATCTAAAAATAAATTCTTACAAGCTAAAATATTTTCTGACTTTAAATAACCTGAAAAGGGTTGATAAGCCGTGAAAAAACGAATCAATAGATCAATCAACCAAATTCTGATTATCTACACAGGCATGTCTTTTACGTCTATTTATATTCTCTGAAATATATATATATATATATATTATAAATTAATTGATTTAAAATATGTTTTTTTCGCTACACAGTTCTAACCATGTTTCAAAAATGGAAGTACTATTTTGTAAAAATAAAAATATCTATAAGAACACCGGATTATATATCTTATTGTTCTTTTCTTATATATATATATATATATATATATATATATATATATATATATATATATATATAAACTACTGTTGTCACAAAGTGAGGAACTAATTTATATATTGATTTTAATATAGAATTGATCCCCCAATTTTATAACCACAAAATTTCTTTATCAAATTTTGATTAGGGATAAATCGACGTTCTGGCCCCCTCCACCAGATATGAGTTAACTGTTAATAAGACTTGTATCGCTAAACTAAATCGAAAAAAGAAAGGAAAAAAGAAAGGAAGGAAGGAAGGAAGGAAGGAGCCAGAAAGGAGAGAAAACGTGAATGGAAAGAATTGGGTAGAAAGAAAGAAGAAAGAATTAGAGAGAAGACGATAGTGCAGATTTACAAATGAAAATATTTTAATTGACAAAAACACTAAGACACATGCACACACACAGACAGACACACGCATTCGCGCGTATATTTATATATGCATATTTAAATTGTGTTTCCGTCTTTTCGCTACAGCGAGAAATTACTGTGGATCAAAATAAAAATATATACTTAACTTCAAATGTTGAACATGGCATGGTTTAATAAAAAGCTATAGAAAGTGAAAAATCTAAGTCAAATGTTAAATAATGATTGTCGTCACACAGTCGGATACCACAGTTCAGTTAAATCCTGTCTGCCCTGTAGCGACGTCTGGAATACGCAGCAAAGGGTAAGACTCCTGGAAAAGGGCCACCTACAATACGAACGCTAACATACTCAGCAATCGATATTTACCTATCCCAGTACCGAATAAATGCTTGTAGATTCAAATATAAACGACCAATATTTACTTATACCTGAAACAAGTAAATTCTTATTGACTCGAATATAAACATCCAACATTTACCTATCCCTAAACTAAGTAAATCTTTACAGGCTCAAATATAGTGAGCGATGGATAAATTTTCATCTAAATTACGCAAAATTAAAAATAACACTGATATCTCATTTTAACAGAAATTACACGAAAATGTCTTGAAATGCTAAAGAGTAAATTTATTTTAAAAAAAATTATTGTTGGCTTCAATCACGTCTTCCAGACGACTTCGGAATCTCCTGCAAATCTTATGGACGTTTTCTTGTTTAAGTTGGTGAATGCTACCGTAATCCTTGTTTTCACTTCATATTTGGTGTTAAAAGGTATTTTGTTGGTCTCTCACTCAACTGCGTCCCACACATAATAATCAAGGGGTTGCAATCTGGGGAGTTTGTTGGGTTATATGGTGGCAGAAATTGTCTGAGAGCCATGAATGGGTTCTCCTGCTTGTGTGGCATGGTGCAGAGTGCTATTGGCAGACAGAGTGTCTTCCAGCAGCCAACCACTTGACCCAGGGCAGCATTACCTCCTCAAGGCAATTGATGTAGGCATTCGTGTTCAAGCTGAAGTCCCCACCAACAAATTCTGGAGTTCTTTTCTCATCAGAACACTCAGAACGAGTTTTTTTTAAGCTGCCGCACCTTTGTAATCACTATTAGACTCATCTAACTCTTTCCGAATCCTCTGCGCTGTTCTCAGATTGAACACCCAAGCACACTGAAATGTTCGTATTGAGGCTTCCGGCGCAAATACCAAGCAGTACAGCATGCCGTTTCCAAATTTCTGGTGGAGTGATGTGCGGAATGGTACACATTTTCTCACAGACAGTTAACAACTGATCCCACTATACTGTGCCGTCCACAAAATCATAAACAATCAACGTGCATGCGCAAAATTAAAAGTATAAAATGGCGAGAATTTACCCATTGCATCCTGTTTAAAAGACTAATAATTACCTGGCACCGAATCAAGTAAATGCATATAGTTTGAAATTCCATATAACAATAAACGTTAATTTTACCCACTAAAATGGCTATGTAGGCAGTTATTAATTCCACCGTTCAATAATAATAAAAAAGAAGCATAGCTGCTCACTTAATAACTATCGGCCCATACCGCTAAAAAATTCTTTTCAGAGGCCCAGTATTTACTTCCTTAGATACACTTTACAATAATATATCATCCAGATAAGGAACTGCGAAATCACAATCTGCAAGCATAGTATCCATAGCTTGTTTAAATATAGCTGGAGCCACTTTTATCTCAAAAGGAAGTCGACTGAACTTATACAATCCCTTGTGTGCATTTATAGTTATTAACACTGAACATTCTTCTTCAACCTGTATTTGAAAACACGGTTCACAAAGAGGTAGCTTCGAAAAAAATTTCCACTGTTTAAATTCACAAAAATTTCCTCTGGACTGTGTAATATTTATGGCATTCTATACATTTGTTTAAACCTGTCGAAAATTCAGCACGCACGAAATTTATATATTTTTTTTCTTTACATACACTGCTGGTGCTGTCCATTTTGAATGGTCATCTTTTCAGTTACACCTCTTTTTTCAAGTCTCACTAGTTCTTCGCTGAATTGATCCAATGCTGCGAACGGTACACTGCGTTTTGGTTTAAACGCTGGCGTCGACCCTTTTTTCACTTGAAATATCGCTTTGACTTTGGAACACTTACACAGCTTATCCAACAGAACATCCGGAAAAATAACATTTTGTCAATGCTTTCTTTATATGTTTACATTGTTTTTTTAAACTGGTTGCTTGTAGATTTACATTTTTGCAATAAATATTTATACTCAAATCTCACGATTCAAATAATTCCATCTAATCATTACCGAATAATTTTGTAGTATTTTTTAACACATAAACCTTAGCTTTTACCCACTTGTTACGAAGTGAAACGTTACAAGTCATTTCAACAATAAAAAATAATTTCGTGAGATTTTCGAAATTCTTTTTAATATCGGTTTTTCGTTTCCTTTCCATGCGGCTTCGTTGATTGTGATATCACAACCAGTGTCTGGTTGCATTTTTCATCTACATTATTAATTTTTAAATACACAATCTTTCTTTGGTTTTTAGTAATTATTTTTCTACCGCAACACTGTGTACGACACTTTTTCTTTGAGAAATTTTCCTTGATTTAGTTTTACAGTGTGACATTTTATGTCTATATTTCCACACTTGTAGCACTTTGAATCCTTAAAGGGACAGTCGTTTCCCAGATATAACCTTTCGCATCTGAAACATGGATTATTTTGTCTTTTTCCGCATTTTCCTTTAGCTTGTACATATGCACTTTCTTTTTTCTTCAGTATTGTGGCTCAGATTTACGATTCTCTGATATTTGTTCGATAATTCTTTTAGCGTTAATTTTTGATTCTGTTCAAGTTTCGTTAGAATTCTAGCATGTATTTCTGTCTTTTTTTCGCCGTTAAGCTTTGAACGGAATTTAACCCTTACAACATATACTGTAGTCAGTTCGTTTAAATTGAATCATTCACACTCTCTATTAACGATTCCAATATATATGACAAAATCTTCGTCTTCTTCTTTCGTCGGATTCATACACTTCCAACGTGTATGAATAAGGAACGTTTCTAGCTATGATTTTTAGTAAGAATATTTAGTGTTTCCTCAAAGGAAAATTCTCATTTCTTTTTTGGTAGTACACAAAGGATTTTTCATATTCTAACGGTTCCAACTTTCGGAAGAAAAGTTGTTTTTCTCGTCTTCCCAGTCACTGCATTCTTCTCTGAAAAGCTAATTCTATCATCTGAATTGAATGTGAATTCATATATGGCATTGACACAGCGACAGTTGTGAAAGAACTTGACGAATTTTCCGTTTTCTTCCGTATTCATTCAATTAAATTTTGCTGTTGTTTATAGAGTTCCAATAACTGTCGTTGTTGCTGTTGTATCTTTACAATTTGGGCTAATAATTCTTCCGCATTTAAAGAATGTCTGCTTTTTGCTTCTTTCTCTTTTTTTCTTTTTTAAACACACCAAAGAAAAAAAAATAAATCAACGTTGTTCTTATTTGTCATCTTCACTGTTATCCTGTGAACCGATACCAAAATGTACTATTTCCTATTCCGTATGAGATTCGATCCCTCGGCACAACTCTTATAACTCACTCTTAGCGGTTATAATATCTTTGTTCGCTTACGCACTCGCTGTGACATCTTTAGAAATTCTCCTCTACTGATTCCAATGGACTTCTCTGTTTCACTTGGAGTTCTTTATTTAAGGCGTCTAGCCTAGTTCATTTGTGTTACCGGGGGTGTCTTATTTGCTCAACACAAAAAAAACCTTCGTTTTTGGATTACTTATCAGGTGTTTCGTGCTCAGTATAGATATTATTCAAAATGTCAAAAAGTCCAACAGATACCTATATGGGTGGTGAAAAAGAAATAAATCTTGATTATTAATATAACAGAAAAGCCAACTGTTGGAAAAAATTAGACAGGGGTGTATATGTGAAGTCTGACTGGTGAATTTAGCGTTGAAACAACCATCATATACGACCTAAGGAGACAGAAGGAGAAACTGTAAAAGTTGTTTATGCTGCAAGTGATGAACAGAAATGAATGAAAAATAGATAAACACTACACAGAGTAAAAAATGAGGATCTCAATCGTGTATTGATGGAATGGATTCTTCAGCGACGGAGTGAATATATGCTGCTTATATAAGACTGGCTTTAGGCTATATCTATAAGCTGTGCTATGAAATGGAAAATGATATCGTGTTTATGCTTAGCTTTCAATATCCAGCTGCAGCATTTTAAAATACTATGTACAACTTAAATAGCTTGTATTCCAAAACCCGAAAATGTCGGAAAAACAGTGTACTTCCTGTTCCAAGAATTTCGGATAATGGATTCTAAGCTTCTTTCTCTCTCTCTCTCTCTCTCATATATATATATATATATATATATATATATATATATATATATTTATATATATTAGGAAAATCTTAGAAAATAGAAAAAAAACAAAAAAAAAAGAGAAATGTTGTCAGAACCTATATATTTGACCATTCTTGGCAGAATTACTATTATCTCAATTTGGGGTAATTAATAACAAAAGTGATAAACAAAGAAACTAAATGTAATCGGCTAGACTATATATATATATATATATATATATATATGTTTGTGTGTGTGTGTGTGTGTGTGTGTGTGTGTGTGTGTCTTTTACGCATTTCACCCCGAGTAAGGCGGGTGTGCCACAGGTTCATAAAGGGTTACGTAGAATGAAGGTGAGAAAAAAACTGTGTATAGAGGGAATGAGGAAAAGATAAAAGATGAATGGTTTTCAAGACATCAGAAAATGGAGATTGACGTTGCATTTGAATTCTTGAAAATTGCATTTATCAGGGAGGCAAGGAAACGGAAGGAAGTTCCAAAGTGTCAGAAAAGAAGCTTTTGGAGTAGAAATAGTGGTTATATTTAACTATTTCAACGTCAAAAGTGTGGGGCCTGGATGCTAGTCTAGTAGCACGCTTAAATTTATGTAGTAAATTTCAATAAATAAAAACAAAACTCAACAGAAGTTTCCATGAAAAAGTTTCCATTTGTAGAAAAGGCTAAAGAAAGTCACATCCCGTCTGTGAGAATGTGACTGGACGAGAAAAACCTTCTGACTCGGCACAATGAGACATATTTCCTAGCAGTAGATGCAGCTATTGATTCAATGTAGTTGTTCCACTTCAAGTCATTCGAAAATACCCAAAACATATATTTAAAAAAAAAAAAAAAAAATTCTCAGCGTCCGATGTCCTTTCGTGGGTATGTTTAGATGCGTCATTGTAAACATCACTTTAGTCTGGTGAAGGCGAAAATCTAATTTTCCTTCATATATATATATATATATATATATATATATATATATATATATATATATATATAATTATTTATTCGAAAATTATAACATAAATATGTTATAAAATCACTACAAAAATAGCCATTTTGTTTCAACATTTCTGGTGTCTTATCAAGTGATGGTGTTGAATATATATATATATATATATATATATATATATAACCTTTCTTGCATTCGTATTTTCTTTTCGGCACATAAAATGTGTAAAACTATCCACTGTGGGTTTGAATGTGAGAGATTTTTGTTAATCTATTACCCATTATCAAGGATGCTTTCCGTCCTGGGTAAGACTATAAACTACATCCGCGTCCTGGGTATGACTATAAACTACACCCACGTCCTGGGTATGACAATAAACTACATCCGCGTCCTGGGTATGACAATAAACTACATCAAACAGCAAGGTCTCTGATCAGGAGGTTTTGAGGAGGTCAGAACCACCTCTTAATTGACGGTGTTTCCAGGTCCACCCTGACCCGGAGTGGTAGCACCTGTTAGGGTCCCAGCTGTGGGCAAATAGTTCACCCACAAACTTGGATGAAAACACTATGAAAGTGTGAAAATAAGTTTTAATATCAGCAATACAATTTTTGTAAAAGCTTATTACCAGCAATAAAGTTTTGAAGAAAACAATTATTACCAGCAATAAAAATCTTGTCGGTATTAAATAACCCATTGAGGTGTTGATGTGCCGTAAAACAAACCAAACCAAACCAAGGATGCTTTTTAACTCAATATGTAGGTCTCTTGTTTTAATTGATTAGTTTTTTACTATTTATTATTAGTGCGCGCGCACACACACACACACACACACATATATATATATATATATATATATATATTAATGCTGGGTACTTCCTTAGCTATAAAATTTCAGAGGGTCGTCTAATGGAAATAGAAAATAAAATCACTTCAAGAAACAGCAGTGAAATTATTCACTTCAATAATTAGCGGTTAATGAAGAATTTATTGAATATATCGATAAAATCATCTCTCAGACAGTGCTGGTGGGATTTTCTAAATCTTTCTGATATGTAATGATCCTATTAGCGTATCGTGGTGTGTTGAGCAATATCCAAGCGATTGGTATTATCTTTCCGTTATTGCATCAGCTGGCATTTTCTACTTAACATTTGAGTTAAGTGAGAAAGGAAATGTTATTGTCTATCAGTTCATTTATCTGTTCAGCAGAAACTGAGAG